TTGGCAGCAAGAGGACACCCTGATGCACTGCGATGGGATGCGTATTTTCCAGTTATATGACCCTGACCATCACAGCCAGGAACTGGACATCTGTACAGCAGATAGATGAGATAAACTTTATTGTCTTGCCATTATATACCTGGTAGCCTCTACAACAAAGTCAAAATAAACCTGACATGAAAAGGAAAGAATAATCCTACACTGTAGTCACAGAAGTAGTCAAGATACTCTGTAGTGGGTAAAATTACAAGAAAAACTTTACAGTTTGAAGAACAAAAAAGTTCTTTGGCAAATTCTAAGGAGGCTAGCCAGTAGATACAGTCACAGCTGTTGACATTATGTAATTCCAACTAAAGGACTGAGATACGTATTCTAATTGCAGATGTTTATCACAGTAAATATCACAGTTGAATTACAATATTTGTTACTTAGTTCTGATCAGCAACAAAATTTCCCATAAAACCATTATAACCATAAAATACTGCTTAGTTTAATCCTTGGTATATTTTATTTATAGGCATAAAACCCAAAGACGACTTGTCTGAAGTCATGAAAAGGTCATGTATACACAGCTAGTTATGACGTGATCAGAGCAGCTAATTAGAAATGCTGAGCTCCTTTAACCACTCTTTGAATAGGGGTGATGATGTGAAACTATGTGCTACAGCCCAGAGACCAATGAAGGCAGTTCTGTACTCATCTGATGGTTTTCCTTACTTGGGAATCTCCCCATACATTTTCTCTGGATATTGCTCTGTATAGTCTATATACTAAAACCCAAACAACCAAGGTTAGAAGGAACAGGTTAGAATCTTCAAAGTGAAATGTTTAAATAAAATTATGTGTGTTTTTTGGTCTTTTTCAATATGTTTCTATGTAACACATATCTAAACTAAAGGCCAATTACTTCACTGTTTGTGAAGTAAAATATTCTTGCAACTCTCCACTGAGGATCTGGTCCTGAATGGTCTAAGAAGTCACTAAATCGACCCAGTTCAGTGGCCACTGATATCAGAATGCCTTGCAAGAAGAAACCAAGACCCATAGGCAGGCATTTGTTTCTCTTGCAAACTGCATGAACAATCAGATTTGTTGCAGCAATCTCATACACACACTCAATTTTCTATTATTATTATTATTATTATTATACCTTTATTTAGCATGTGTGGTTTGCCTGTAGTATGCAAACATGTTTGAGGGGCATTTAGGAGATAAAGATCTAAGTGATTTTTTAATATCATATGAAAATTAAGAATTTTAAACTATTTCTAAATTACAGATGATTGTATCCTTGGCTAAAGCTGTATCCTTTGCTGAAACAATCAACACAGATTGTTTCAGCACATAGAAATCAATGTGGTCATCTTCCCTTGGATAACTATCACACAATATAACATTATGCCTTAAAAAAACCTGAAGATATATAAGACCTTATAAAACATACAAAGGCCCTGGATAACTATCACACAATAACATTATGCCTTAAAAAAACCTGAAGATATATAAGACCTTATAAAACATACAAAGGTCCTTTGACAATGTTTGTTCTCACCTAATTGGCTCTTGGTCTTCTTTGTCTTCCTTGCTTTGTGCTATCCTGATTCCACTTTTCTTTGCTCGTGGACAGCCTGAAAGACTGTGTGAAAGAAAACATTTTAGAATGAAACTTCTCATTCTTGGGCTCACTTTACAGGAATACGCTTTTTATCAGAGAAACTGGAAAAATAGGCAATCCTATCCAGTTCCCACAATCAAATCTCAGGTGGGTTAAATAAGGAGAGCTGCAACAGCCAGCACGAGGTGGGGATGTGTGCATGGGTCTGTGATGCAGGACAGGACTCCTGGCACTGTGCAGACCACACACACAGGAACTCCCCAAGGAGTCAGGGAAGCCAGCTCTTAAACCCTCTGCCTGGTAATTCCTTCAGCTGACTCCTTTAAAACAAGTAGAAGTCAATGCTTCAGGGCTGAGAAACATCATGTCCTCTATGTCTGAGAAGGTTGGAAGAATAGGAAAAACAGGAGTAGCTCCTCATAGGACTAAAGATTTCTCTCAGGAGCACTAGTAACATTATCAAACCTTCCCAAATATCACATAACAATTCTATAGAATGACTGAATAAAAATGTGAGTGAGCTCAGAGCTTTCAATGCTTTCCAGAGAAAGGGTACAAGCGCTCAGAATTCACCCAGACAAAAAGATTTGGTAGAGACAAAGTTGTATGTTAGGCTAACCAATGTTTCATGTAACTAAAGACTGAGAATGTTGTTTTCAACTACACAAGCTCATATGAAGAATTCATTATTGAAACCACTTAGTAAACTTGACAATGACCTTAACAGTTTTTAAAATATTTTTTTAGGTAGTTGATATCTGAGGATACAATTATGGCTACCAACAAAATCATACTTGGTCCTCTATTTAAATATTATTTCCATCTTAACTATCCACATTAAAAAAAGAAATCCACTAGTAGAACACCTGCAAGTGTTGACATGAGAGAGAAAGAATTGTCACCAAAGAAAAAATTCCCTAGAGAAAGAAACAAAATAGAAAATTAAATTTTTGTTTTCAGCATGAGGAAAGGTACTTGAGTGTTGTTTAGGTCATGTCTTTGCTAAGAAGAAACAGAAAGAGTGATAACAAAATTTTCAGTTATTTTGTCTTGTCAAAACCAGTGAGGACTGAGGGGAAGAAGCACAGAAAAAGGTGATGCAATCACAGATAGAATTCTGTGTTAGAAAATGAAGAACAGACCAGAGTTTACATGCTGCAAAGTCATAAATAAGTCAATTAAAGAAAGAGAGGAATGCTGGCATAGGATATTGGACATAGTACATTATCTAGAAACTTTTAGTGAGAGGTCATGGCTACACCTACAGCATTAAATAGAAAGGACCTAGAACTCTTGCTTTGACCCAAGACCAGAAAGTTCAGATTTGTACAGCTAAGCTCTCTATCTTTGCAAAGCAGGACAGCTACACCCATATTGTTTGTAAACAATGATCTGGACCCACACTGAGTCTCAAATCATATCTTAGAACTGCCTGGGAGACTTCTAGTGGCCCAGGGTCAGTGTCATGCCAGGGGTCATGTCAGCATTAGTGGAATACATATCTGCATTCTGATACATGAACCTATGCCCTCATCCCATTTCATTTTCTATTTTAAATATAACCAACCATTTTCCTTTAGAAAGCGAACTATTTATTCCAGCTTGTGTAGTGGACATTGAAGGACCATAGTTCCTTGCGTACAAACTAAATCTGAGAAAGCCTGTGCCAATTAAGAACAGTTTTCTTCAAAAATAATAACTTTGTCTGTAAGAAGGAGGTAGGAGGAAGGGAGTCTGAGGGATACAGAATAAGAGGAATCTGGCTCTGGGGAAGGGGAACAGTTCAGGAACAGGCTGGTTCACTGCCTGTCATGCAACCTGGTCTGCAGAAAGTGAAGGGCAGGGGACAGGAGTTAAAGACACCCCTCTTTTATCTCTGAGAGTAGCTGTACTCACTGTGTGAGAATAATCAGAATTTGCATCTGAAAACTGAACAGTTAATAGGAATTCCTGCGAAAGCAGTACTTTTTTTAGTAGGTGTACAGATGGGCATGCTTGTAGATGATGACATTTTCATAACAATATCTGAACAAAGAATTTCTGCCTTGACTAATGATTTAAGGCTTTCTACATATTAAATCAATTTAATTATCACCTACTTATTGGTGTTTTGGTGCATCATCTCTTTGGATCTTTCTATTTTGGTACTCTGATTTATTAGAAAATCCTAAGACCTTTCAGGTCCTCTAAACAGACATTTCCAACTGTTTCTGAGGCTCTGATTAATTTATTTTTCCTCTGACAGTGGATCCATTGAGAAAACATATGTCAAGGATGAGCCTTTGTTTTAATTTTTTTATCCTGTAATACCCAAAGTTATTACAAGATAAACATAGTACTTCATTTTTCCTAGGACTTTAATTCCTCATATATGAAGACAAAAGGCAAAGAGGGAAATTCAACAGCAGTGCATGGTGCTTTAACTTCTTGTATCAATTGAAGGGCTGTGTGGAACTGCAAAGTTAAATCTGCCTCACATATGCCTGCTGTTGAGCAGCCATTTTAAATACCAGGGATACCCAGCAGCCATTTAGGAGAGAAGCCTGTCATTCCTTTCCTTCTGAAACTGAGAGGGTTATAACTGATGGTGGCAAATACAAACAAAAATGCTAACTCAGATGCAGACAGAGCTAAATGCTAATTTTCAGTCTGGGAATTAGAAAGCCCAACTGACAACATGCTGTGGAGTCTTCCATGCTTAACAGCTCCAGATTTAGGCTACTGGTTTGCTGCCCTTTGAAAGCATTCATTTTGCCAGCCTTCCCACCTCAGAAACGGCCTTGACAGATATGATCTGAACAGGGTAAGGCTGGCTCTGTGTAAATGTGACAGGTCTCCTGAGGACATCTGTGGATTTAAGCAAAGAAAATGTTACTTCACTGACTACGAGTCAGTGCTTCTGTGCCTGCAGGCAGCCGATGACATGGCGTTGCCAGAGGACTTTTTGGACGAGAAATGAAGGAGTTATGTGGTCAATATAGACATGGCAGCATTTCAAAAGGTTGCATGTGCTTAATTCCAATGGACTGGGCAAATTCCAGATATGTTTGCTTTGTAGAACAACTTTTTATATCTTTATATGTAGTTGATTATGCTGCACAATCAAATGAAAACTTGATCCAGCAGTCATCTGCAAAATTACAAGATTGTACGAATTTATAGACAAAGGTAGTTAACACCATTCAGTTCATGGTCCAGTCATTTCATGGCTAGGAGACAGTGCACAAGGAAAAGGCTTAAAAAATGTATCAATATTCAGTGTTTCTCCCCGACCAACCTTGCCAGCTTTTAGGTCTCTTGTTAGTAACACTTTTCTTCTTTATCTTCACTCTCCCACCTGCTTCTGGTTAAATAGATGATCAAACACATAAATAGCTTCCCTGAAGTTGGGGTAGAGTTATAACAAGCATAATGTTGGTAGAGTGGTAGCTGATAAATTTACATATAATTAAATGTAGCTCTAAATTTGGCCTTAAATTCCTCTGAAAGCATGATTAAATCTCCTGCATCATGTAAGTATTTTTAAAATAGTTATAGTTTCTTCTTTATAATGTTATTTGTACTTTTGATGTTTAACATTGCATTACAGAAATTGATATTGTGATCTCTCATTTCCACAGCATGTAAAATACGGCATGTTCCCAATCTCTTTTTTTATGTTTTGACTTTGAACTGTTTGCTGCTTCAGTGGAAAAACATTTAAACTGGGAATTTGTGTACTGGCTAGTTATAGCCAATTGTAAAACTGCAGGGACTTGGTGAAGAAAGCAAATATCCAGACTCAACAGTACTAGTCTGCATGGAGTAAAGAGTCTTTACTAACACAAGAGTGGTAGACTATACTATTATTCACTATTATTCTTTGATTAAACATGGGATAGATATTTACAAAATATGGCACAACTCTTCTCTACTGATATAGTTCTTGAATAACCACAGGGGAATTACTAATTACACAGCATTTATACCATGACCTCTACAATGTAATTGATCAATATCCTAATTAGTGAGTGAGAAGCATTCTTTGGCCCTTGGTAAAGTTATAGTTTAGGCAGTTAAGACAGCTTTCATCCATAAATTTATTTTTCCTTTCTTCTGGCTTGATTTAGTACATAGTGTTGCAATTTAAGAACAAGCCAAACGTATTTCTGAAATGTACTAACAAGACTGGTGCATATTAGATGAAAGAGGTACTTTTTCCCTCTGATTAAAGCTGATAAGGCTTCATCTGGGAGAGGAGATAAAGAACAGGGTCAAATTTTGCATTTCAAGGAATATGGAAAGAGTCTGGAAGAGATGCCATGAACATTCAGGAAATAAATTTTGTGGGGAAAAGATCCAGGAGTAGGATTTGAGTCCAAACTGTGAAGAGTTAAGATGTTCAGAATGTAAAGCAACACAAACATAAATATTGAATTGCTTCCTCAGGCTACTAGAGAAGGCAGAGAAAGTGAATTTATTTTGTATAAAGATTTTGTTAGATATTAGCAAAAATATTCATACTGATTTGGGTAGTGAGTCATGCTGAAGCTGAGAAATGATATTCATTAGTGGTTAATATGAGTTAGATCAACGTATGTCTGTGCAGCACTCAATCCTACTTCAGTATTCAGAGGGTGCAGTTAGGTCAGTTGAGCCACCTTCTATTTGATATAAATAACAAAACCTTGTCTTCACATACCTTCGATGAGAAGCATAATTTCCAGTAATATGCCCAGAGCCATCACACCCAGGGGTGGGACACCTAGAATAACAATGGAAGAGACACCCAGCAGTTACTGACAGGAAAGATATAAGTACCCATTTAAAGATATTAATTTGTTCAGTCCTTGTTTCCTCGGGTGTCAGCCTTTGGGACCCCTAACCATTGCTAAACCTGACCTTAATTCCACATCAGGGACAAACACAGCTTTTCCATTCATAAAGTGGTTTTGTTTGCTACTGAGTTGGCCACTGCAATACTTTCTGGATATCTCAAGTACTGGCAGATTAGTGGAGATTTCCCAGCAGTCCAACATCCCTACACCACCAGGAATGAATAGGGTTAACAGCAAATGCACTATCCCCGTGATGTATGCTTAGGCAATGGCTAACATTGAGGTGAGGAATTTTCTTTCCCACTGGAGCTATTGCTCTAATCCCACTGCACAGTGTCATGAGGTCGCACCATGAAGAGACCCCTTCACCTCTCCATGAAGCAAAGGAAATGCCTAAGAAAAAGGAAGTGTGTAGACAGGGAAGTAATGCTGGCCTCTCGCAGAGATATGGTAACCCACCCAAACAGTCCCAAACAGCAGCTACAGCACCAGACAGAAATGGTAAAGCCCTCAGTGGAATTTCTAATAGGGAAACAACATTAGAACCATCAGAGAAAATGGATGGATTTTTCTACATTGCAAAGATGATTGCGATCATCACAGAAAAAGCTACATTATAATGCTAAGTAAAGTCATTAGCTGGTATTTGAACTGCTATACTAAATCAAAGAAAGGACAAATAATTAATTTGTGTGCATTTTACTGAACAGACAAATGAATTCCAAAAAGTCACTTTTCTTGAGCCTGAGTTTTGAATTTTAGCCATGCTATTTAAATCTTCATTTGGAGACAGCATTCAAATTCAAAAAAGCTTGCTCACAAATTCAGATGTTGCATTCTAATACACCAGATTTCCATAACACTAATTTTTTTTCACTATTTGAATTATGAGTTTATGAAGACTTTGGCTTTCATCCTTTAGTCACGTGTGCTTTCTTCAAAGTTGGTCCATACTGGTAAGCTTTTAATTCACAAGGTTTCTACAGAGACTCAAACATTTCTTAAAATCAGTAATTAAGCAATGCAGTGTTCAGTCCTATGCAGTTGCCATGTTCCATTAATCTGAATTTTAACTGTTTTAAGCTAGTAAGCATTATCTATTTATGAGGAGCTCAGCAGGGCCAGACTTCAAACATGATTATTGCTACCTTGAAAGATATAAATTAACCTGGACTGTATTCAAAGAAGTTCCCATATAGTCTTCATCTGGGTCAGTTCAGTTCTTCTATAGAAAACATCAGAATATGGCAGCAGTTCTCAGATGTTAGCTGGTAAAACTTACACCAGCTAACAACATATAAAGTAACATATACTAATATATGTTACTATATATACACTATGTTATTTTTATATATATACACTAACACTGCAACACTGAGGCTTCTCTTCTCCATCCTGAACAGGCTGTGCACTTTGAACAAGAAATCAAAACAATGTGCTAAGAGACAATTATCCTTCTCTCTTGTTTGTCTTTGCACAGGACCAAATATATGACCGTGATCTTGCATGAAAGGTGTATATTAAGGTGGCTCTTAAAGACCAATATACAAGTTGATATCACACATCAATTTTTCTGCTTATAGAAAGGTAAAGCCCATAATTTCTGCATAGATCCTTCTGATACCAATTAGGTAAAACTATGGTCCTTGATAAAGGAGTCATAACAGTCTGTATGCCTCTTGCCCTTCATTCTTTGTTGTGGTTTCACATAGCTAGCATAAATGTTGGTTATTTCTTTAAAAAATCAGTGGTCAGGGCATCTAATAGGAAGGGTCTTATCATTTAAATACTCTATCTATATCTATGTATGTTTAATTTTAGACAAATGTTTTGAGATCTACAGAGAGAAAATCTCTTGCTTCATGAGCTTTTTTTTTCATGCTAGGTAGCTTCAGTGGTCTCCAATGCCTATTTCCACCAAGACTAGCTGCATCACTGAAGCCTGACTAAAGCCTCTAACGTGCTGAATCATAGGATATGGGGATAAAAATTAATTAAAGGAATTGACTACATTTTGGATTTACATGTCCATGGCATGTAAACAAATAAAGGAGAACCTGGGGCTATGGGACTACTACTCTGCAGTCTGTCTGGGGTACTACAAGAATTTCTTCTTTATGACCCCATGATTTGAGGCCACCATTTTCCTCTCCAGACTTTCTATCCCTTTGAGGATAAGCTATTAGCAAAACTGAAAAACGTTTTTTCTCATCTTTTCCAAGACTTTTTGTTACAGGGAGCATGATTAATAGTGTCTTAAAAAGGATTTGTAAGAAGCACCAGTATATCCCATCCATCAGTCTTAAAATAAGACCATTTCACCTCAACCATCTGGACAATCTTGCACAATTTAAAAAAAAATACCTTATTTCTGTGTCATTAAAAATAAAAATAAGCAACCAAAGCTAAAGACGAACTAATCCTACTGTAAATTGAATTAACTTCAGAAACAATTTTGCACAGTTCATATCAGTTTAAAAATGTACTTTTGACTAAACCAGATGAGAGATTTATGTCGGCAAGGCTTTCAGAAAGACCTTTCAAATTTTGATTTTGGTGCTATAGTATTTGTTTTTAAATCTCATAAGTTTATATTTACCTTCATGTAACAGATGAAATGAGAGTTTAGTGCAGCTGGTAAGAACATTTTAAAACTCTGGAATGCTTATATTTCTACTGTTTCCATTCTATGGGAAATGCTCTTAACAGTGTGACACAGAGGATGCAGATATGCAGCAGTTTGTTACAATTTTGAAACTACTACAATATTTACTTGCAGTTGGAAACAGATAAGGAGACAACCCCAAGTCCTTGTACTATTAGAACTGGGAGTCTGTATTTTCCAAATGTCTGAGCATATGTAGGGCTTGCATATACCTTACTACCTTGCTACCATTTACTACCTATCCATATATAACTTAATCATATGTACAAACAACAGCACCAGAAAAAATGTATGCACTGCTTGTAGAGGCAGGTGATGGGAAACCCTCTGAAAATGACTATCAGAGTATGTGGAAAAAGAGAGCTGCAGTTTTCCTTGCTTACTGCAAGTAAATCTGATTTGGCAGGATCAGAAACTCATTTGTAGAATTTACATAATAGCTTATTGTAGCACAAGAAATACTTTAGTACTGTAATGAGGGAGGTGACAAGAGGAACTGACTCTGTGAAGAGTGGAGTTCAGGACATAGAATAGTAGCACTTGACTACAAATTCAGGGCATCCAGTAAAAGAAAGGGCTTGTCAGGTGAATGCAGTTAGCAGTGCCTTGATGTCCCATTCATTTCACAGATCATCCCAGAGAAGCATTTTTGGGAAAATAAGCAGAATCAGGAAGTAGGGCAGGCAGCAGAACAGCAACAGCTGTGGCAGCTGGATTCAGTATTTGGCTTAGATTCAATAGCAGGAGAAAAAAGGCTGAGAGTTAAATTGAGAAGAATACACTTAAGCCCTGCTACTGATTTTTCACTAGGGAAAGAATGAAGGTGTGCAGCAATTAAACTTCTGTCAGCTTGAAGAACTCAGGGAGGTTCCTGGGACTGGGAAGGAAATGGATGCAATGACCAAATCAGCTCTGTGAGGGGTTTTCCTAATGCCAGTGGTTAACAGTCTTGTTGAAACCTCAGCTCACAAGACCCCCCAGCTCTCAGCAGCATAGGGCACTACAAATAAGACCCCTAATTAAATCTATATTCCTAGGCTTTTATCTAGGTCGACAGGAGCAAGATAAGCTTACATGTAATGTACAAAGATTTTCAGCTTTACTAGCATGAGAGCAAATAGGATTTTGCACAAAGTGTGAAGACCGAACTGCAGTATTTTTTTGCTCATTATTGTGTATGACTTAGATTGACTTATTTTTTAAAATTATTTTAAAACATATATTAGATTCAGAACATAGAGGTAAAACAAAGACATAAACTTCTTCAACATTTTCATTTTTGTGCTGAGGATATTGGCTCCAATAAAAAGGAATTAAACCATCAATTTCTCTCACATTGGCCAACTGCAATGGTTTCCTACAAAATACCTTTCATGACCTGTCATTAGGAAGCTGCTGGATCAGCACAAAAGACTGATGGTACCTTTACTGTTTTGTTTACAACACTTAGTACTACTATGCTGTGCATCCAATCCTCCCTTGTGAATGCATGTATCAATAATACAATCTATCAGAGAGACTATCCTACAAAGCACAAATTAACTATTTAAAGCAGATGTAGCTAGCAAAAGAAAAATAATATTGAATTGAACAGGGGAATAAATGGGAAAATTGTGCAAAAATTCCAAATGGTTCTCAATAATGTTCCACACGGCAAAAGTACTGGGATTAATAGAAAATTATATTTTCCCCATAGTTTTATTTTGACCATGCTGTCAATCTCTATAGTAGAGGTGTGATTTTCTATTGAAGATTCAGAAAGGCTGGAAAAATATAATTGTTTCCTGTGGGATTTTTTCATAGCAGGATGCAGAATTTTTTATTGTCTGGTGGTTTCCATCTATTTGAGATTCTGTTTTATTTGACTGAATCACCAGGAATAGAATTCATAGGTTGGGTGGCTGGAAGACAGACACAATAATACTTGCATTTCTGTTTTTTTTCTGAGGATCTGAGAGTACTTTAAAAACATTACTGGATAAAATTTCACAATACTGCTTTTGAAAAGGGAAGGATTTGGCAGAGCAAAATTGGACAATAAAGAGTCTAAATTACTTTACACAGAAGAGGAAAATATGCCAGAAATACAGATTCTTATTCACTGCTCTGTTTGCAGCTAAAAAGCTGTATGTCTTCTGAAACTGCATATAGATTCATAAACAAATTATTGTGGTTTGTTGCTATTTTTTTTTTTCTAGTGAGGTAGTCCCAGAACAAAAGGTTACAAAAGTAAAATTGGAAAGAAATTGTGTTTGCAATTCCCTGAACTGGATATGTGAGAGAGGAGAAAAAGGAGAGGGCAAGAAAGCGAAAGGATGAGAAGAAGCTCTGTCAAATTAAAAACTGGATTTTCTGTGGATTATAGTAGGTTTATTGAGTGTCTATTCTTTCATGAATTTGAAGGCTTGTCAAAAACTACAGGTTTGCAGCTCTTGACGCTTTTCAATTAGCTGAGAGGCCAAAACAGAACAAACTTTTCTCCAGTTCTTTCCTATGCCAGTCACCACTAACCTGCAGGGAGCACTCCCAGGTGAGAAACAAGATCATGAACAGAGCTGTGTGGTCCTCAGTACAGATTTTTGGCCACAGGTGTGTCAGTAAAAGTTGTGGTTGTTACGAAAACACCTCTTTAGCAGGAACTGGACAGATAGCAGCAGCTCTTTTTGCCTTTACTCTTCTGAGTAGCCAGAGCAATGCCTCCCAGCCATTACTGTTCTAGCTCTGTGAAAGCGATCTGGATATGCAAATCTGTCAAAATCTTATTTTCAGTCCCAGGTATTTTGGTCGATTGTCAAGCTCTAATTAAGTATGTGAAGTGGGAATGTTGCTGATTCTTCTTCTTGTGATGGCACAGAAAAGCTGTTGTCTGTTCTAATTCCAGTAGGAAGACAGATATTTTCAATTTTAATCCTGTGGTTTTTTATTGTCTATTTTTTACCACAGCATTTGATTTCTGAATTCCACTGATGATTCTTTTGATATCTAGACCAAAACCCTCTACCTACATAATCTATCTATGAATTTATAAAGAAAAACAGTTTTCCTAGGATGGATTTATTTTCCCTTAATTTTCCTCAGAGAGGAGCCATATCTACATGCTTCTATTTCACTCCTTACATTTTCTTTCCTGGTGCCTTTCACCGTGTTTTCAATCTGCTATCATTTTCCTGCAGTGAAGCAAGAACCTCCATTTGCTTTTGCCCCACAGTTTGCTTTCCATCCATATTTCTCTCCAGTACTTCTCTGCTGCATTCTACTCTCTCATTTCCCCAATCCTTTTCTTTTTGTCTCTTCTTCCATCTTTAACAATTTCTCTCTCTCCTTTTGCTTCTTTTTTTCTCTGTTCTCTTTGGCTGACGCCTTCAATCTCTGTTCCTCCCTCATCCTTCTTCCTTTCATGATCTCTAATAACCTTGAAGTCAGTTGTTTCTTTCTTCTTTCCTCTTAGTTGTTTTTTCCCATTATCTTTTCTTTCATCACCCTGGTTGTCCTCCTATTCTTTTCTCCCAGATGATTTAATCATTCCTGCCATCTGCATTGCTTGTGGTCCTCTCACATTGCTGAAATGACTGGGTACATATTCTGCCCTTGTGTCGGAAGAGAGAGTGCTGTGTGTGAAACCTTAATACAGAATTTATCAGCTGTCAAGACTCAGTGACTCATTTTAAGTATCTTGCCCTCTTTTTTTTATTTTTTATTGAAGTCCTTGCAAGCTTTATCAGTGGCTTCAAAAGGAGCAGAACCAGGCTAACACTGGGCACTTCTAGAAATTGCATTCAGAGCTTATTTGAGCTCATTTGAATTGGTTCAAGAGGCAACATAAACTCTATGGGACAGTCATGCAGATAATGACTATTTCAGGAGATTTTAGTTCTCTGGTTTCATGTTCAAGGCTAAACTTCTATTGCAATCCTCACAAATTACCTATAATGACTGTGCGAAGTCAGAACTCTACAAATACCAAAGTTTCATAAAGATGCATTGTAATCCAAAAAAATTAAAGAAGTTAAACTTAGATTCATGTGTTAAATTATTTCCTTCTATTTGTTCTAGCTAGGAATATTTAAGCACAGAAATCTAGTTTTAGCAAAAGTGCTAAATATCACTTTTCCACATGTAAAATACTGCTAGCATTTCTCACATCAGTAGCACAGAATGCTACTGATATGACAGGTCTCACTGAAGGCAATAAGGAAATTTAAATGCCAAACCCACAGCAGATATAAAGGAAGAGGATTTCAAGAAATGACAAGAGCCAGCAACACCAAAGAATCATGGTGGAAAAATAAATGGGTGAATTTAAAAAAAAAAAATAGAAAATTTCTTGTCAGAGTTTTTTTTTTTGGCATTGGATCCAATGCAATTCCAGTGGGAGTGGGCAGGAGAGTAGGGAGATCCAGACAAGGATCCCTCTTGGTGGGGCATTACTGAGCCCTCTCAGAAGACACTGAGAGAAGTACAGATTGGATATTGGAAAGAAGAGTAGAATGGAAAGATTTGTTGTTCCCACTTTCACTGTACAGTGTTTCTATCCATGAAGGAACAATGCCAGGCCTATGGAGCTAGTCCAGGCATGAGACTAAAATAATTTTGGCTCAGAGGCTTCATGGAGTAACTTCAGTCTCTTTCATCTCTGCAGAGTTGCTCTGTCTCTTTGCCCCTAGAAATCCCCAGCAACTGAATGGTTCTCAACTGGGGCATGTTGACTGCATACTCCTCTCCTCAGGTACAATTTAATTAATTCCCTGATTTTCTGCATGTACTATTTTTTCTGTTTTTAGCTGCTGCTATTATCTGTATTGCCTTCCTGTATTTTTTGAACTGTGTGGGGGTGAGAAAGAACATGGCATGTTTTTAATTACACTGAAATCCATTCTCCTATAACAGCCTAAAATGCATCATGCTGGCACATGAAATACTGCCGTGCACTCAAATGCACAGATACACACAATGAGTTTAAATTAATTATATTGCTTCAGAAAAAATATTCCTGTGCTTTCCATTGCCACCTCTGCATTCTGCCTCTTTTGCTACCAGTCAGGACTTCCCAGCAGCAAGTGCCATGACGTGCTGCCTGCTGTTCTCACATCTAGCATCAGCACATAACCCCTTATCATGCCAGTTGCCAAAGGCAGGGTATGTGCCTAACGTGAAATAGCTTCTGTGCACTACCCAGGGGGTGCTCTGTGCTCAGAAGCTGCCAGGGGGAAGCTGTGAATCAGTTCTCCCCCTGGGCACCTTGCCCACACTTTTTCTCCTGCCAGCATCACCTGCCTTGGAGGCAGCGCCGGGCAGCTGCAGATCCCCTCCCCACAGCAGAGAGCACTTCCTGGCACCAGGGATGAATCAGTTCCAGCATATGCAAATTCAAATGTTCATTTCCAAACAGCTCAGCCTTTGGAAAAAATCTTCATTTGTATGTGAAGGAATAACATAAAATGATGGAGTCACAGAGAAAAAAGCAGGAGAAGATAGCCTTAAGAGAACATGCCCTACAACTAGGAACAAAGCCATGCAGATTCTCTTGTCTCCTAATAGCATTGCTGTAAGCCTGTGCTCAAAAAATAAATCTGAGTCAAAAACCCACATGGGCTTTTTTCAGTAAATTTATGTGGACACATTTGTCTCTAAAGAAGAATGTCCCATTCCTGGTTGATTTATTACTATGGGAACCACTAAGCCTCTCAGGAATATCTGCCATTCTGACACTGCACAGCAAAATTGGACCAGGTTTGCAGAATAGCCACTGACATGATTTCTATAGTTCCCTGCATGTGACAATGGGTCCGAGTGAAGCACTTGAAGACAGTAACATAGGTATAGCATTTGGTATTCTCTGCTTTGAAAGGAATCTTCAAAAGCTCCTAACTTCTGTGTTTATGATGTAATTGGGAGTTTTAGCTCAAAATTAAATTAAAATCAGGCTGAACATTGAGTACTTTGAAAATTCACTCTTTAGGTAATTTTTTCCCCATAAGAAATATACACTATAGTCAGTAACCTGCTGGTTACCTTGAACACCTTAAAATTATCAATAGAGTAATTACTGAATTTTCATCTCTATGCTGCTGCCCCTCCCATGCTCTGCTCTTTTGTGCTTTGTATATCTTGTCCTAGGTGAAGCAATTAGCAAAGGATTTGATGGGCACTGCAGTATGACCTTGAAGCTGTCACTTCCTGTGAGTTTCCTGGAGGTTTGGAATGACTTCAAAATCTATGAATCTGAAATATTCAAAAAGGTCAGCATCACAGCAAGAAATGCTGAGAAAAGCTATCAGATTAGGATTGCTAAAAGCAGAGGCAAAAAAGATTTGCAGCTTTCATGTAGTCTGTGGCCTTAACAATCCACTGAAGCTTTTGGCAGGAGATTGGGCACAAGCCAACATTAGCCATTGCTTAGCTATTCTATTTATCTGTTTCTTGTTCAACTTGTTCATGCACAAACAACAAAGAGAAGGATTCTACAGATCACAAGAAAGGATCAAATGTATGGAGGGGGGAAAAAAAGGCTAAGTGTGAAGGATGGGAAGAAGAACAGCATAGAGAAAGTCCAATTCATGTCCTTCAAAATAGGGGATCTAATAAAAGTATGAAAGACCAAGCTTAAAAAATATGTCTAGACCTATGTAATAAAGAAAGAAGCAAGAGTCCTGCCTCTAATATGAATTCTCTCAACTTAGCATTATGGCAGAGCCATAAATCAATATGACTGTAAACATCTGTGAGCTCCCTGGGAAATATATCCTGGGCAGCATGAGAGCTAAGACATTTGCAAAAAAATCCCAAGCCCATTAAAGTAATCCAAGTGACAAAAAATGTAATGGGCTGGGATTTTCAGCTTTCTTCTTACACTCCTGTTTCAAAAGAGCAATTAAAAAGATGATTTTCAGTGCACATTTGGAAAGATAAGGTAAAAATAATAGTTTGACGTAAAATGTTTAGGTGACTAATTGCATCTTGAGGTTGAGAGTGGTTTTGCTCCACACACAGCCACTGCATTGTGCTCATCAGTATCCTTGAGAAGTGCTACTGTAGCATGAAGTTCCATACACTGGATGAACTTTTACATGTTTTCTCTGGAAGCATGCATCATCCAGTAACAGGGACAGGGTAACATTTGGATAAAGGGAGCAAACTCAAGACAGATAAAGCAAACCTAGACAGATAAAGCAGAGATACTACTTTCTATTTTGGGGTGAAGCGTCTATAGCGAGTGAGCAAAATACTCCAGTTTTTATTTGATGAAAACAAGCAGCTTTTTCCCTCTAGGCCTAAAAACATTTGTCAGAAGCCTAAGTGAGGAAATATGAAAATACTGAGTGTGAATTATATCAGACTGTGAGAGGCAGTCTGGTCTAGTAAGAAGGCTAATGAACAGTGCAGCTAAGGGAAATCCAGTTTTGTTCCTGATTTTCTGTGTGACTTTATGCTGATTCACGAAACCCTCTTGGACTTGCTCTAATTTTTCATGTGGCTGAGTTTAGACTCATTCTCCACACTGAGTGCTAACTTATCTCAGACACGCAGTAAGCATATTTAATTCATACTGAAGGGAAAAATCCCTAGTGAGAGTCTAGTTATGAGCCAGTCTGCAAGGAGGACAGTTGGATATTACCACAGTTATGCCCATCCCTATGAGTATTCCATCCTACTGCCTCGAGGTACATTCTGCTGGTAGACACTAGCCAGACAAACCAGATGTAATGAACTAACACTTAGGAAGATACAATTTTCTTCCCAGCACTCTCAGAACCACAAATACTAAGGTGCAGGTTTGCACTGCTACAAGACATTGCCAGATGGTTTTGGGCCTGAAGAACTTGATATCCAAGACTGAGGAAGTTAGGTTGCTCATTCTTGTGAAAAAATTTGCAATAAAAAAGGGAATTTTACTGCTGTCTATGAATACCTAACAGGTTGGTGTGGTGAAGGCATGCCAGAAGTTTTCTCAGAGCTGAACAGTTGAAGGACAGCCAATACAGGGATAAAGTTTAGCATGGGAAAGTCACTTGATTATAAATGAAAAAAAGAAAACCAACCAAACATCAATTTGGTCAAACACTGGAATAGTTGTGGGAACTCTAACCTTGGCAATACTCACAAATTGACTGGACAAGGTCCTGAGCAACCTTTTCCCACTGGACTTGCTCTGAGAGCAGGAGCTTAGACTAGCTAACATTTGGATACCCCTGGCTACATGGTTTTATAATTCTTTAATGCATCTTAAAAGCTGTAGCAGAGATAATACTGTTTGGCCTCCTATTGGCAGTACAGATGCAGCCTTTAGTTAGAGATTCTATTCCTTTCTCTATTCCTTAGAGACTCTATTTTTCCTTGATTCAAGTCCCTTCTGGATTGTTCAAGTTTCAATCATCAGCAAATTTAGCTGTATAGTTTTAAATATTCAAAATATTTGTGTATTTCTTTGTATTTGTATATGTTCTTCTTAACAACTGAAAGTGATGATTTTGAAGTCCATCTTGCAGAGTTAATGAATGTTAAATTCTCAGTGAGGTGATCACAACATCCTGATCAGTGAGAGGGACTGTGTGCCCGAGATAATACTCTCAGCTTCTACTCTGGGCATCCATCTGCCTCTGCTTTGGAGTTTCCTGTTCCCCCTGAAAGGATGCTGCAGCTGTCTGGGTAGCAGTAAAAGAAACAACAGAGCTTTTAGTATAGTATTCAATAACCTGAAATTGGTGTCATTTCACCCTAACCTGTCAGAGTGGATGAGGCAGTTTGCACATTATGAGAACAAAGGAGACATCCCTTCAGTGAGGGCAGAAAACTCTGATAAGACCATTAGAACTGTTTCAAGCAAAATTCTTCATTTTTCTGTTAGAATCTGAGACTGTACTGAACAGCACTTAAGTAATAATTCCAGCTCCATACAAATGTTCCAAGGTATCATTAAGTAGAACACTTGAGAATAAATTGTGCATTTCATTGTCATGGAATATGCTCTCATGTCTTTTCTCACTTTGGCCTCCTTACTTTCTTCTTGAAGTTAACAAAGGCAGAAAGTCCATGTTTTTGTATGATTTCCCCTTCTGTAACTCCCATAGGGCAAGGCAGTGCAAGCTTGCTTTATACTGTAAACATCTCACGAAAGAGCTACATTGGTTTTGCAGTCTGAGAGCTGCAGGAATGGTTTCCCAAGCAGCTGCACAGTGCAGGGAGGTTGGAGGCTCCAGCCAGGGATAAAGTGCTCAGGCTCTGTTGTACCTCAGGGCTCACAGCTCCCATGCACCGCAGAGGTAAAAATGCACCTCTCAGTGAGAGACTAACTTTGCCTTACATGACTTTAACTAGAAGGTTTCCCTCTGATTTTTTCAAAGCAATACATTTCTTTTCCAAAACAACCTCCAGTTTTAGTGTTCTTATAGTCAAATAACCCTGAGCATGCATTTACTGCTCCTTGCTCTGATTTCTGACTTGGTTAGTGTTGATACAGACCTTATCTGAACTTTGATTAATACTTTTTTTTTCCAGGCTAGTGAGGAAGAACCGTAACTTTCTATTATCACAGTGAATGTCTACATCTTCTAGTCAAACCCTACCAATATATTTTTTAAGAAATCACTATCCTTGCAACCATTCCTGCTAAATAAAAGCCCCTTGCCAAGGAATTGGGAGAATATTACTTGGGGCAGGAACCTAGCTGCGACACAAATTCTCTGTTTTGATTAGCTCAGAGGTTGGGATCCTCAGCTATACAGGACATGGAAGAAGAACATCTTATTAACCTTCTTGCATGAAGTAGAGACAGGTACAATTCTACTCAGCACCCATTCAGACATAGGAAACCCACTAATTTCAAGATGAATATGGGATCACAGGAAGGTCAACTATGGAATAAGTTATCCAGCAAACTACACCTTACAGGATTGTCTTCCATAAATTGCTACTACCCAGTACTTATAGTTGTCAGCTGTATCTCTTGCACAGAACACAATCCATTGGTAGTGTCTTTAAAAACAGCCAATTTCCCCTTTACATGGTGAGAGAAGTTTGTGAGAAAAATCACCCCTTGGATAAGTAACTTATTCATTACATTTACTTTACCTTTAAATGGAAGTATCTTCATTGACAAGAACAGATAAAAATAAATGTTTCTTAGCTTTTAAGACAATCCCACTACCTTTTGAATTTTAAGATGGAATAAAAATATTTTTGAGATAGTTCTTGATTATTTAAGACCTTATATGAAGATATAAACACATCTGGTCTGTGGTACATTAACATTCACGAGAATTTTGTAAAAATTAGAGATATGTGGTGCTGATGTGTTTACTTATTACAATTTGTGAATCAGCAGCATTTACTCTGCCTTCAGTAGAGTTAACACAAAAATTTGTAAAAATGAAATGAAAATCAGTTAAATTATTAAACATAGTATACTGGATAATAGTTTTGCATACGAAATTTGCAGAAAATTACTTCTCATTTGCATTTAATATCAGTAATTTTTAATTTACAAGGGTTTATTTTATCAAATAGAATTCCAACAAAAGTTAAGAACTTCCTTACCAATACTTGAATAATTAAAATTTAAAAATCCTCTTTTATTTAAAAATAAATAGTGATAGGACCCTGTCCATGATAATATCAACCTCAAACTTGTTTTGTCAAGTGGAGGAAGTGCAAACTCTACATGGACTTTGGATTTGTAATATTGTTCTCACTCCATTAAAAACATGCTACTTAGGGAAAGCTTTTTTTATGTTGCAGAACATAATTTTGGATCCAAAGCTGGCTAAAGACAGTGGGAGGTGTTCCATTGACACAGTTGCCCAGGGATTCCGTGGATGCCCCATCCCTGGAGGTATTTAAAGCCAGGCTGGATGGTTTTGAGAAACCTGGTCTAGTGGAAGGTGCTCCTGCCCATGGCAGAGGGGTTGGAACTAGATGATCTTTAAAGTCTGTTCCAACCCAAACCTTTCTGTGATTCTATTACTTAAAGAGATTTTGGATTAGGTCTCAGTAAAGAATTAGAACCATTAAAGGATGTGAATTTTCTGTGAATGGGAATGTTGAGGACTAAACCTTAGCTGGTTTAAAAAAGTAAAGAAAAAAATTCTCAATAATTTCATTGTTTCAGATTCTTCACACTCAAGTCACAAAAGTTGTATTTGGTGTTATTCAAAAGCAAGGCCCTTGCCCCTCCTTCATTATACCTATACTTATAGAAAATACTTACGCTTTCCTGACAGATGTTGCTTGATTAGTGCATCAGAAGAAAACAAACCACCACCTACAATGGTTCCTGGAGAAGCCTTGAGGAGAAACCCATGATCTATCATTTTTAAAAATTATTCAGTCATTTTCATACAAATTTTTATGCTTTCCCTAGGATTCTATAATTTTTTTATTCATAGGGAACAAAACCAGTGGTTTTTCTCTGCAGTATTCAGCATATCTCTACAGTGTCTAGCACAACCAAAATTTAAAACTTTTAAATCCAAACTTATTTGTGAAATGCCCAGGAGTTCCTGAATGTACTCCCCATTAAACAAGAATTCTGTGATTTAAAAGAAAATAATACAAATATTTTTAAGAAATAATGAAGATTTTTTGTTTGGTGTTCTTTACTTATTGTCTGACATCATGTTTGATTCATTACTGAAATAGGGATTCCAATCATAGAGTCAAAACTGAATGTTTTTTACCTATTAAACTCTGAATTCAACATTCAGTAGATCACATTTAATGCAGGGTCATTTTATTTCTTTTAGCTATGATCAGTTTATACAAGAAAACAAAAAACTCCTAAGCTCATTGTTTTACTGGTAAAAGAGTAAGTTGTGATTTTACAATTCTTCTTTTGAGTACTTTTGGTGCCAGAAAAGTA